ATAAACAAAAATGCTTGCTACATTCTTAAACTATTGAGAGTATGAGGAAACAGGAATTTTTATATAGTTAAGGCACAATTTTAAAATGCCTCCCATGATGTTTTTAATGCTACAGATAATACTTTAGATGTGCAAAATCCCAAACAAAGCAGCTATTTCATGAGCACAACAGTTCTGTTATAGATAACTCGAGACAGAAAGAAGCATGGTTCAGAAGAGTTTGGGTTTCATGAAGCCCTGATGGAAAACACACAGTCTACTTTCTATATACAGAGTTGTTTCTGAGAGAGTACACAAAAAACATATTAGTTTGTTCCTAGAGAAGTGACTGTAGTACTCTTGAATAGAAAGAAGAGATTTTGCTGTATCCTCCCTTGCACTTTCTGAATTTTATGCCATGTGCATGTGTTCACAGTCTGACCAATGCTAAAGACGTGGATGGACTCTGACTATCCAGCTCAGTTCCACTCCCTGAGAAGTGACCATAGATGTCTGCCAAAAGGCAGGTGTGAGAATATCTACAGTGAGTTTTTCATGACAGAGAAAAACTGAAAATAACCCAGCGGTCACATAGATTTGCTTATCAAAGCATGTTTATTCAGTGGTTTATAAAACAGCCCTTAAAAAGAACAAGCTATGGGGGCTGGAGAGATGGCTCAGTGGTTAAGAGCACTGGCTGCTCTTGCAGAGGACTCAAATTCTATTCCCAGCACCCACACGGAAGATAACAACTGTCCATAACGCCAGTTCCAGGGGATCCAATGCCCTCTTCTGTCCTCGGCAGACATTGCGTGTCATGGGTGCACTTACACACCTGTAGGCAGTAATACACTCATATATGTAAAATAAAAACAATAAATAATTTTTTTAAAAAAAGAACAAGCTATGATACATTGGATCAGAAAAACAATATTGAGCTAAGGAAGCAAACACAGGCTGGAATCCTCACTCGGGTAGAGCATGTGCTTAGCATGCAAAGGCCTTGGGCAACATTAAAAAAGAGGACGGCAGCAGAAGGCAACACACAAAAAGGAAAATGCTGTATGCTTCTGTTTAAGTTCAAAAACAGGCAAACAGAATAGCAGTTTCCTCAGCCAAGAACGGGCCTTGGGAATGCTGAGGCAGGAAAGATGTTGCTGACTGGGAAAGAATAAGAATTTGGGGAGTCGTACCCTGAGCCATGGTGCGGGTTAAACAGTGCATACATGTGAATAGTATGCATATGCAGGATGAATTCATCACTATTCTTATTGTTATGGTCAAGTATCAACAAAGACAACTTAATGGAGGAAGGGTTTTGTTCCAGAGGGTTCAGTCCAGGGCTGCTTGGCCCTGTGCATGTGAGCAGGACGTCATGGCAGCAGAACATGTGGGAGAGGCTGTGTTTCCTTTCTTGGTGGTCAAGAAGCAGAGCAAAGGGGACAGGAAGGGACCGGGGACAAGGTAACTCCTCCCAAGGGCACTCCCCCAGTAATTTACCACCTCCAGATAAGCCCCACCTTCTCAAGTTTCCAGAACTTCCTAAAAAAGTACCACAGGTTGGGGACCAAAGACATGGGCCTATGGAGATACAGTTCACAATGAAACCACAGTACAAGGATATGTACATACATTTTTAAAACGAGCTTTACACTGAAGATTAATGTGCTGTACTGTTATACTTCAATTAAAAAGAATTTTTAAAAAAGCACGAGGGGCTAGATAGATGGCTCAGTGGTTAAGACACTGGTTGTTCTTGCAGAAGACCTGGGTTCAAATCCCAGCACCCTCATGGCAGCTAACAACTGTCCGTAACTCCAGTTCCAGGGGATCTGACAGCCTCTT